TTTTTTTCGGGCTAAAAACGCCTTACAATACATGGCCTTTTTTTTCGGCTAAAAACGCTTTCCAGTTATTAATTACTTGCAATTCATGGATAAATCCATTTTATCTCGTACATACTGTATTTGTCAATTCAAATACTATGCAGTTCGACTATGCCATTATTTTATATTTTAGTATGCATATTTTCAAGTTGACACTCTTTAAAATGATAAATATAAGCTGTATATTTAGTGTATTTCACAGGTCGTGTGTGTGATTCTACAAGCATGGGGGTTGTGTCAGGTGTAATTTGATGTTTCGGCTCACTGAATCTGGCTGGTCCGTTATACTGTGCGAGCTGCTTTACTGGGTTAACGCGAGCTGACATGACACCTGCTTGCAAAAATGGATTACATTAAGTACCACCTGGTGTACGCGCTTCTTTGCGTGTGTGCGTCGTGTGTGTGCGTGTGGCTTGGGATAGGAGGCTGACATCTCAGAGAGACACCGTTGTTTCTTTTCCAAAACGCCAGCTGAGCCCTCATCAGTGCGTGTGTGTGTGTGTGTGAATTCACTCAGGGATGCAGCCAAGGAGTATTACAATAAACAAGCTTCCAGACATTGTTTTTTATAACCGTCATTTAATTGAAATAAAGAGACAATTTATGATCATTTCTGTCTTTATTCACGACGACAACCACAACCAATACCAAACTCCAGTTGAAACAGTGGAAGATTTAATGCAAGAGAAATGTGAAAGACAGCAACAATAAAATTCTTCATCTTAAATTAAAAGGAAATGATTTGTACTTCTTACTGCTGCAACACAGCAGTGACGGTGATTTGTGTGTCTTGATATGTTGGAAATACAGAAGGCTTGTGTGGAACAGAACACCGTTAACCACAACCAAAAAGATGGAATGGTGAAGTATTTTTTTTTTACACCTTTCTCCTTCCAATTTACATATTTGATGTTTTTTGGCGACAGGGCTTTTTTGTTTGGCTTGTTATCTACTCAGACTCTTGGGTTTGTTAACGTTTGAATGAAAGCCCCCTCCCAAAAAACAAACAAACAAAAAAACATCATACATCTCTGTTGCTTCCGATATAAGGTACACAACTTGCAAAGGATTTGGCTTGATTAGCTGCTGAAATAGATGAAACATAAAACAGTACAGTGCAGGATGTCAACAGGCACTCCGGGATTATCTTTGTTTAAAGCAGGTTGTGTGTGCAGACCACATTAACAGTGCAGCGATGAGGAGGATGCAAAAGCTAAATAGTCAACTGCATTAAGATTTGCTATGTTACACTTTATAATACACCTTGGTGGCTCACATCAAGCAGCTAACTAAGTCGTTGACGCGATATTTGAGGGCACCGACGAATGAGCCATTCAGTTCAAAGGATTCTTCCCTTCATTAAGACTGACCAATTAGTGGTTGCACTGCTGGAATGTTTATTGGTTAGAATGCAGTTTCTCCTTTTTGTGGCCCACATGCAATGCAACAACCGCCTGACTATGAAAACATGTTTTCAATCAGATTGTTTTCATTGTTTTTTGGGGTTTTTTTTTTTGGTGGCGGAGGCGGGGAGGGGGGAGTTACCAAAAACAGATGACCTCTATAATTTGCGGTTAGGGTCTTTTGGCCTGTTAAGTATGTACAAAGCCTTTTGTCTTTTTAATTGGTAAGTTTTGTGGTCTCACTTCATCAACTGCTATTGTGTTGACCGTTCGATCGATTAAAGAATAGACATACAGATATCAATTACGACTTTCAAAAAGAAGGAAAGAGGAGACAAAAGTGCACCACTATCAGTGCAGCACCAATGCAGGGCAGGTTTCAGGACTGGGGTTTAAACAATAGCCAGAATAGTATTAGGCCTCTGTTGCAGACAATTTCACAACAGACAAAAAAAAAAAAAAAAAAAAAAAGACCAATCAATCAGAGGACATCCATAACTTGCGGGAAATTGTGTTCAGTTGGGAAGGCCGACTGGTGGAGTTAGCATGGCCACAGTGTAGCACTTACTCACTTACGGGGCTGGTGAATGTGCTGGTTGATGTGCTGAGAGGGGGGCAGCTTGGGGATGCCAGGCTGGGGCTTCTGGTGCGCCACCTGGGCAGCAGCCGGGGTGAAGTCCTTATCGCCCTGAGTAGAGTCAGACAAAAAAAAAAAAAGTCAAATCAAGTTTTGTGCGTTGATGACTTCGTGCTAATACCTGATTCTCTCCATATCCTCAAAAGTGACTTCGACAAAGTATGTGCCCCTGTCTCAATGTTTTGGGGGAGGGGGTATTTTCTCCGTTTTCATGTTTAAGATTCAACAAATTAGACATCAGATAAGCAGAACCTAAGTAATCCCAAATGATCTTGAAAGTTAAATGGCCCATTATGAAAAGAAAGCTTCGAAAACCTTCGAACTGGTTGGGCCAACCTCTGCAACAATAACTAAAATCAAGCATTTCCGAAGACTGGCATCGAGTGGTTCTCATCTCTGCGGAGGTATTTGGGCTCACTCTTCCTGACACAACAGACGGGATTGAACAGCCTTTGCCATGGTAGAATTTCATTTTGTTCGACTCCAGACAAACTCACTGTATTATTAAGAAAGGATTATATTTCCACGATGCTAACGTTAAATGTCTGAATGCGTGTCTGTGGATGTGTTACCTTGGTAACCACTCCGGACACAATCAACGGGGCCTTGGGTGGGCTGAAAAGAAAGAAGAGAAAAGACAAGTTATTAAGCAATGAGCATGATACAATGTGCAGAATTTATGCCAATGTCTCTTGAGTGTGTGCGTGTGTAGAAACTAATCATCTGAAAGAAGGGCCTGAGAGGGTTGCACTTGATACAAAGTGGAGCTCCATTTACAGACACATCTCAAAACCGCTACCGAGACATAATTCAAAGTAGCTAAGTTGTCTGAACAGCGCACCCCTTACATTACATAGTACACAGAGGCGCACACAAACACACACCAGATGGAGCTCCCACGAGCTTCAGCCCCCCCCCCCCCCCCCCCCATTCATCCGAGCCAAAAACTGGAGCTCACAGCTACTGGATGTCAAAAGGAGGTAGAGGTGCAGGGAGAAAATGCCGTGCGATGTGTCCGCTTGTTGTTTTCCTTCATTTCAAGACATACAATAAATAGCACACATTCTCTTTGTGGCTATCTGCTCCTTTCTTGACAATTACGACAGTTTTTTTTTTCTGTTTCAATTCAAACTAACGCAATACAGTAAATCAAATGTGGAGCCTCCGAACCCGAGAGAGGATGGCAGTTTTTCCATTGAAGCGCGTCGGTAAATGTGCTGTGCTCAATCACGTGGTGTGTGGACACGAGTCAGCTACTTTTTCCCCGCAATGGTCTATGTCCGTTGCGGTCAACCGCGTGGCTCGGTGTGTGGCCCAGGCCTAAGGGAGGCCAAAGGGCAGAGAAGGACATATGGGAGGCAAACACCTTCACAGCAATAACAATAATAATAATGGATCGTTCGAGGAGAGAAAACGAGGGGGGGGAGATGGAGGCTGAGGAAAAGACGAGCGGCTCGACCTTGACGTGACAAACGAGCGCCGGCGTCTAATTTTACAGCGTTGTCACCCCACCGTCGTGGTGCCCACCTTGAAAAATCCCTTCGACGACGAGCACAGGGGACTCTACGACAACGGTCAAAACAATACGCAGCAATGGAGAACTCGATTGAAGTATAAAATAGGAGCAACTTTTTACCAACGGTGACACTGACTCACGGTGTCTGCAGGTTAAAGGAAGCCACTCAGACCTCACGTTCACTTCACGGGACAACAAGCAGGAGATCGGCTTCAATTTTGTCACATTATTTTAAGACATTTTATGGTCACTTTTATTTATTTTTTTTTTGCTATACCATCATAAATAAGCCACCATTCTAATTCAGCATTTGAAAGTGGAATGAAGGATTAATTGTTATTTTTAAGGATGACTACGTTCTTGGGTTTGGAAAATGAATTTTAACGGGTTTAAAAGAGCAGGGGGGGAAGCCGGTAATTAACAGCTATGATGAGCCTACAATTAACCAAGGCAATGACTAGTAAATTACATTCAATTGCATTCACTTCAAGGTTCCTGAGTTGACATTTTGTACAGAAAGAGTTGGCGAGGGACATTTTTCTTGACCGGCGTGCAGAGCCTGCAGGGGGAAGCAGAGAGCCGTAAGAAAGACTGCCGACGTTTTTTGCCTCATGAGGGAAACACTGAGGAAGCCTGGCGTTTGAGGGGGAGCCAAGAAGTCGGGATGCTAATTCACCAGCGAGTTCAAAGAGTGAAAAATGTTGTTTTTTTTTTTGTTTGTTTTTTTTATGTCGAGCATTCTTCTGGAAACGGCCACTCGCCGCCCCGCCCGGCTCCCTGTGCTTGAGCAGCGCAGAAACTTTGTTGCCGTGGGCAGGGAGGTGGTTGCCACAGAAACTGAAGCACGCTGCATTTTGTTCACTTGCCCGCATTCCCCCGCTTCACTTTTGCGTCCAGGAACTCAATTTGCCGCACAACAGCCTCGAACGAGTTGCCAAACGACCGTCGCTGAGTTTTAACGCGCGTGAGCTCCAGCGTTAGTATCGATGCACTCATTTTGCCAGCCGAGGGCATTTCACCCCCTTAAATTTTGAAGACTCAACACGTACTCCCTGTTTAAGTGGAACGCCTAACTTTGCTTTGCGCTCTCTTCTTTTGGCATGAGCGCTTCGGGTTTTGATTGCTGCCGCAACCAATTTAAGCAGCAAACACGCGGGGCCCGCATTATTTATGCCCTTTGTCGGTTGCTTGCAAGTGATGCCTTCAGCGCAGTGACAATACAACACATTTCCACGGATATTGTTTGATGCATCAAAAAAGAAAACATCCACGCCAAGCTCTTCGTCTCTCTCATGCGTTTGCTTACACGGCCCTGACCTTTGCGTTGCCATCCCCATCCTCGACTTTCCTCCTCATCTCCGGCGTAAACAGGGGCCGCTGTCTCTCCACCTCCCTTTGCCCCATCTGTCCATCTGGGCTAGATTGGTTTCGGCAGGTGCTCCCCTGACTACAACGCTTCACTGGTCGCACCTGATGTGAAATTTACCCACTAGCCACCTGCTGGACGTCCATCAGTCTGACTCATGGAGGGTGCGACGAGGAGTTTTTTTTTACTGATGGAGTGCAACTATGGCACTCGACACAAACTTTGTGTGGACAAAGACCGGTATTTCACAGAATAAAATTGCGGAGATCATTGCGATGTTGTTCAAGCAAACAAATTGTATTCGGCTTGCTGTGCCTCCGATGGAAGTTTGATTCAAGACAACATTGGCTGTTCGACGGTGGCAGTACAAAACAAGAAGACTTTTTTGGATTGTGTCAATCGAAGTTGGCGCTGTTATCTTTGTGGAGGCAGAATTTTTGTATTTGGGTTCTTTTTTTTTTTTTAGATTGCGCAGGTGTACCTAATGCTGTGCGTAGGGAGTGCATATAATCGGGCGTGACTGCAAAAATGTGCATAAAATTATTGCACTGATGGTAAAGGGCTCTGCCGTTGCACGGCTTGTCAGCTCTCATCAGCACGCAACATGTGAATATACCGTCTGCACCCGCTTTATTTATACCATCTGCAAATGGGAATGGAAATTCACCGTCATACCCCACATTTGCAGTTGGGAAATTCTAATGCCGGTCTATCAATCTCTGAATGGTTGGAGGTCCTGAATGCATCAAAGAAATGCAGATTAAATATAAACTCAGTCGGGCTCTGAGATCTGCAGACTTGGGTCGTTTAGTGGATTCAGACTTCAAGGTAAACGTGGTGAAGCTACATTTGATGCTTATGCTGCATGCAACAGGAGTGAAGCTGTCGAATCCAGATTAAAAACTTTACTTACATTTTTGGTTGAGGTCCTCTAATCATTTATTTATTTATTCTTTAATCATTTCTTTTAGGATTTTTTTTAAACTACTTTATTCTTAAAATGGTTTAAATCTTAACATTTTCTCTTCTTCTCGTAATTCAGGGAAGCTATTTTTCGCCGCTTTGCTTCTGAATGTCGCTAACTGTTCTCTTTTTAAAGAGTGTTGTCTTTGCTTGTGTGAAGCACATTGAGTTGCCTCATGTATGAAACGTGCTTTTGAAATCAAGCTGCCAGGTCTTGAAGAGGAAAAATAAATGTTAGTTTGTTCTACACTACAAGATTCTCATTATACTGTTCACACTGCATGAAAAAAAATTAATAAATCAGAATTGAGTTGCAGTTTGAATTGAGCCACACGTGTCATTTTCAGATTTTGCCTGCGGCGCGAATTCAGCCGTGACCCCGTACATACCGTATACTTATACGAGCACGAGTGAAGCTCACCTACTGCTCACATACTCCTCCTCATCGTCATCTTTTGGCGGAGGTTCCGGAACAGCAGTCGGCTGGTGCTTCTGCACGATCCTCATCCCCCCGGCCTTCACTGCAACACAAACAGGTTTGAGAAAGACAATTTGAGTCACGACCACATATGAGGAGGTCTCATTCCTCATGTGAGCAGCAACAAATATCACAATACTTGAATAATCCATGACATGGATTATGGGCAACAGCTCAGCGGAACATTGCTAGACCACACGCTCAGGTCGTCACTGCCTTGATCCGGCAGTTTCAGCAAAGTAATAATACCAGAGTACAAAGCCGTGTCAGCGGCGTTCGAAGCACCCAACTGTCCCACCAGCACCGGCTGTCGTGTGCCGTCATGAGATCTGTTGATTCAATTCAATTATTTGGGGAAATAAAGCTGTTCTTTGCCGTCTTGGTCCCTATCCCCCATAAATAGTGGGGATTCATTTCGGGCTAGGGGATTACATGATCAACAATTGTAAACATGCTACGATAAGGCCACACAAGACTGTGCACTCAAGACTGTAATAAATTATTTCACGGTATTCTATGGTTTTCTACATTTGCTGTACTGTTGAGTAAAAAAAAAAAAAAAAAAAACGTTCCTTGGGAATGTCTCCATTGTGAGACAAAGGTTTTCTTATTTTATCATTTTTTTAAAAAAATGTACTTTATATGTTGATGAAATGATATATTCTTTAGGTACACGTACGGGTGCTTTAAAACTGGCAATTAAAACGTTTTCTTATTTTATCATCTTTTTCATTTTGTTTTAAAAATGTACTTTATATGTTGATGAAATGATATACTCTTTAGGTACACGTACGGGTGCTTTAAAACTGGCAATTAAAAAGAAAAAACAACAACAACAACAACAAAAATGCACTCCACTGGGGTAACCCCACTTCATTTTCCTCACAAACATTTTCAAGAGACTTCCTGTATCAAGTTTGCAAAGGCCAGGGAGAAGATGGAATAGTCCATTGCATGAGAAGAGAGAGCGGAACACTCAACAATCAAAGCTATGAGGACAGATCAAGCAATTTGATGTGTTTTTTTTAGCAAGTAAATGAAGAGCAGAGGTTCTTTTTAATCAAAGGAAACTTTATCTAGGGGCCCAGACAACTGGCTGGCTGTGTCTGCCTAATGGTAAATCGACCCTTGAAATAAACAGCATTATATTGTATTATATCTGAATGCACGCTTCCTACAAGAATTGGGGCAAGGTCAGTCTAAGCAGTCGCTTTCTGAGTGGACTGTAAGTGACTGGTTTGCACTGCTTCAGGGTATTAAATGTTGAAATTATCAACATGATGCAAGGTGTCGTGTGAGCGCCACATTTATGTAGCTTGACGGATTTATCGTTTACCAAAATGGGAGATGTTATTTTCTGCAAATGTCCACAGAGCGTGTGCACTTGGGCAATTCCTATTGGATAGCCACCTTTGAACTCAAAAGGTCTGACACTGAAATGTCACCTTATCTGAATGCGTTATCAGTGCAGCTGCTGAGGCCGCCGTGGCCTGTCCACGTACACGTTATACGTCCATGAGCCTCCTCGCTCACGAACCTCCACGTCACCATGCGGTTGCAACTGCACTCTTGTCAGACGCCTCGAAATAATCATGCCATTATTAAAAAAATGACCGTTCTGTGACTTGAGGTGCGAATTGGAGATCACTCGTCAAGCAGGAAGTAAAAACAAGCTCGAATATTAGGGACGCAAACGTAGCACAAATGCTCACTGCCGACCACAAACACAAAAATAAGATTGTTCGTCGTATCCGTGCAATCCTGAAAGGGGCATATTGCTTTTTCGGTGCCCTGCAACACATTTGGCTTTCGCAACGATCCTAAACAACATGATTAGGCCTTGAGACGCGCAAGAAAACTGTAAATAAAAACAATGGAGTAGCTTTACCTGCAGGAGGATGTCCACCCCTGGTTTCGACCTTCTCTTTCGGTGGAGACGACATACTTCAGGCTGCAAAGTGTGTCGCCGTCAGGGTGTGCGCTGGCTTCTTCTCGCTTGATTCTGGCCCAAATTCAGCACGGAACTCCAGTCTGGAGTCGTCAACGTGGCTTTTCCTCAGAATTGTTTGGGAACGATGCGTCATGGCGTCACGGGTGCAGCGTGCGACGTGACGTTTTGTAACAAAAACTTTATTGGTCATAAAATGTTAACAGATTTTAGAAATAAGACTAAGAAAACCTTCATTTGTCCCACAATGGAGAAATTCGCAATCTACAGCAGCAAAATTGGAGGGAAGAAAGTAGAAAAAGAAAACAAAATATTTGCATGCACAAAATACGTGTTTAAAAAAATGAACTGTATACAGCACAGAATGCAATGTAAAATATATGCAAGTTGAGGGGGTCGTTGTTTTTAGTGGATAGCTCTTGTTTACGAATGACAAAAGGACAGATGGAATCCTTTAATGCAGTTTATTAAAAGGGGAAAAAAGACGTCTGCACTGCAGAAAGTTCGAGAACGCAACTCAGGTAACTAAAATCACTTCCTGCTTCTCTGACTTCAACAGCCAATCAGAACCTGTGATGTCATGAGTAGAATAACATAAGAACTTCATTACCCAGCATGCCACAGTAGTTAGGTTGCAGAGTGCATGCTTGAAGTAAAGAGTCCCACGAGTTCTATCCAACACGCCTCGTCTCCTTTATTATATCTTACGAGAGACAACACAGAACCTATCAACATAAAAAAATGTCTAAGCAATTATTAAACAACAGAATATAATTTAGGTATGCTTAACCTGAAATAATATGATGCTCAAATATAAAATGATAATTAACAATACAACATAAGCTTACATATAGAATATAAGATATAATGCAGCATAGATGCAACTGCATATGTGCTGCATCAGGTGGCTGTGCTATTTACAATGGGTGAATGAATGCTTTGATCTCCACCCTATCTATGATTAACGTCTTTTAAAGCAATTTTAAAATTCATTCTTGCCAAGTCTTGTTCTTGCACTGTATGTAACTTTAGAAAGCTACTTTTCTTTTTTGTTTGTTTGTTCAAACGTTGGTCAGTGCTTCACATGCAGGTCAGGACAGTTTGAAAATTGGGAGCGGTGTCCTATTATACGTTTGGATTTTTAAAATTAAAACTGATTCAACAAGTTGACTATGATGTGATTTTGATTAACAACATAATAGCAGGGAGTACTTCAAGCAGAGAGACTTTTACCGGTACAATCAATCAGTGGGAGTTGTGGTGGTTTGCAGATACAGTATAAGGTGAACCCAACTGCAGGGAAGCAGGCAAGCCAGAAGTTCAGGGGAATATCAAAAAAGTATTTATTCCCTCCCAAAATGGCAAACAAAAGCACATGGTAGCAGGAGCAAAAAAATACCAAAAGTCCAAAGGCCAGGTTGCAAAGTCAACAAATCAATGTCAATCAACTCAAATAAGGGGTCCTCGCCACTCACGATGACAGGCAGCGGGGAACCGAACAAACTGTCGAGACAATGAGGCATTCCTGTGAAAGACATGAGCAGAATGAGAGACCTGATTGGTTGCCAAAAGGGGAGCAGGGCAGACGAGGGCAGGTGGAGACAAAGACATCATGAGCAGACGAGGAAGACATTGAAAAGTAAGAACAACATGGCAAAGCAATGTCAAACCATCAATCGTCATAGCATTGACAAGAAATCTAATGGTGGCCTACCGCTAAGCATTCCGTCGTCATCACCCTTTGAGTTAATTAGTAAAGCAACGCGTATTAGTGTGGTTCTGCTTTTAGTCTAAAAAGGAAATGCCCCCGATAAGAGAAAGATTACCCACCCATTCGAATGTAATGTTGTGCCCATTGACAATTGTATACACGTCCGTGGCCACTAAGAAGCAAAGTACCGCTTCACTTCATTTCAATCTCTAGCTGTGAGCATTTTGTGCCTGCTCTTGTGTTGTTTCCAAAGCAGAAAACTAACACTGAACTCATGAAAAGCTCTGCCATTACCTCTGCCGTCCTTTATGGGTCATTTTAGGTGTTCCCTCCATTTTCCTTTTTGATGTACATAGGGAGAGTTATGACTTAGCACAGAGAGCATTCATTTACTCAGAGTGTAAATCCAAGGCACATATTAAAACTGCCTTGGGTGGAATCCTTTCCTAAAGTCAGTGATCTCCTCAACTGCCCATGGCTGATATCTCCTCACCGTGTGTGTGTGTGTGTGTGTGTGTGTGTGTGTGTGTGTGTGTGTGCGCGCGCGTGTGCGTGTGAGAGGAGGAGCACCCAGTCAATATCTTGGAGAGAGACAGAATGAGGACGTCACAGGTGAATGCTTTTGCTCAAACTGACAGACAGGTTCATGCACCCACATGCATGCACTCCCTCAAACGCATGAAATCATGCCTTTGGTTCCCTTCGATCACTGGCTGCTTGAAGTATGGATGTAGACCGTCCTTGTAGCAGCTACTGGCCAGCAATTCAGTGTGAGGTGCCAGCATAGAACGGAACATCTCATCACGCGGCTATGGAGAGATGTCTTCTCTCCGTTGCCTTTTGTGTTTCATTCTCGCGTGCCCCATATGCAGCTTCCTGCTCCCCCATACCAACTTCTTCTGTGGCAGCAGAAGTAGTTAACAGCCATGATTGCCTTCAAGTATTCTCTGTAAACAACGCTTTGCTGTCATTTTCTGAAATTCCTCACGTGTCCGACACACGCACAAACATACACATGCACACACTTACGCATACGCAGCACTCTCTGCGGGAGACAGCCGGCTCACCTGCAGCAGCACCAACATGCATGAATAGTCAAGACCCATCTCCAGCATAGGCCGCTCAATATCTGACGGAGCACCATGATGTGCGTATGTGCCAGACGACGAGCAGTAAAGAGAGCGAAAAAGTGCAATGATAACCATAAGAAAACATTCAGTGATTCCCTGACATAACTACCAACCACTCATTTGACTTCTTTTGGCGTGTTTTAGTTTCGATTCGGCAGCATGGAGAAATAGCGGCGAGCACATCGTCCTCCCATTTGAGAGGTCCTAAGGTTGAACTCTCAGCTCCGATGCCATCGTTATCATCCTGTCTTGTGGAATTTGTTCTCCCTGAACAGTTGTACTTCTCCTGACCCTGTATGATGGTGAGGAATGTTCAGACGTTACCTGAAACATAACTCGCAAATAAAGGTTTTATCCTGGTGACAGTTTGAGCCACGAAAAGAAAAAAGACATTTTCCCTTTAAATTGTTTCTGATGGGTGGTGAAAGCTGTTGAAAAACAGTCAAATTAGAACAATCGCTACGCGTCCATTAGAGATACCCAACAGATTCTGTTCAGCTGTGCAGGCTTCAGTGCGCACAGTATACTCTTCAATGAACCACAAACGTTTCTATAGAAGAAGAGATGTATAAAGACTGTTTTGAAAAAAGATGATATTTTGATAAAAAAAAAAATGATATACTCAACCGATTGCCCCTAATTCTCCAAAGAAGCGAGAACTGAGCTACAGACAATACAGGGTGGTTGTTAAATGAGGATCTGCTGGTAATCAAAACTAATTACCTTGTGTGAATACTGTAGCTCCAAACGGCAATCTTAACTTCATCAAAACAATACAGGGAAATTGCACTCAGTAGCCCACCCCCCAAACACACATTCAACTCCCTGGTGTAGACTGTGATGAGACAATAAGAGCCTCATTTTTAAGGCTAGCTCCTGTTTTGTTTTGAATGTTCATCATTTTCTCCAGGCTTTTCTTATTTATTTATTTGTTTTTTTAATCAATCAAACCATGAGTTCAGCCTGGCAGCTCTGGAAAAAAAAAAGCCACTGTGGGTAGGGCTAGAATGGTAACATCCCAAAATGTAACACCAAGGCCCACTATAAGTGAGTATCTAACTCTTGGCGGTTTATGTCTTAGTTTACTCAGTTGATAAAAGTACAAAATGGATTGTAAATGTTTCTCTTTAGTCATCCCCAGTACAACCAGCAGAGCCAAGATAATAGTCGATATCAACACGTGAAGTATGGAAGCGGCCGCTTATGAATGCTAACCAAATGCTCTTTCAGGTCTGCTGAATGCATAAATAAGCGTCTGTTTACTAAAGTGCTCCTCATTCTACCTTAAAGGTGCTGGTGATCAAAGGCTGTCTGCATCGCTTCCAAGTGTCAGAAAAAAAAAAAGCCGCGGATGTACATCTAAGGGGGTCGACCGGGTGAGAACCCGAGAGCAAAAAATGTTTTCTAGCAAAAACCTTTTAAAGAGGCTTCAAAAAAAGGGAAAAAGTTATGCATGACTGAAGTGTGCCCTGATTTCTGCTAGCAGCTGGTATGGGGGATCATGTAGCATCTTGTTTTACTCAAATATTAAAGGAACTGGTTAATGTTTGCTCCAAGAATTTTTTTAATTTCTGCATGTGTTCAAATACGGTCCTTTCTCAGCAGGGTCATTTAAGAAGCATGAATACACAGTAACACACAACTCGCACCAGAGCCTGAGCATCTTCAGGTAGGATTTCTCTGTCGTCTCATCAGGGGAAGGATGGGCGGGCGGGGCGCCAGGGAGCCGCTGTTTCACGATTAGAGCAAGTGAATTCAAGTTCTGTTTGTACACCACGTCTTTTTTTTTTTTCTCTGCAAACACTGCGCTTTAGTGACACGGATATCTGCACATAAAAATTATATATTTATATTCATATATTTATAGATTCTATTTCAACAATTCATTCTAGTGATTGGACCGTGATTAGCAAAACCAGACTGACCGTCGGTAAGAATGCCTTGCATGGACATTGATTTGTACAGACACACAACGGAGGCATACACGCACGACTTCACACATGCATGCATAAATACGTTCACCCGAATGAATGTGTCTGCACGCAGGCCACACATTCTGTCACCGACATGCACACAAACGCACACGCATCCGTACACGCGCCCGCAATTGCTCAGCTGACACCAAGGACAGCTCTGCACAGTACACCAAAGGGAAGCTACCCATATTTCCCAGTAATATCCAGATGGGGGGGCACAGCGACATAAAAGTTACAAACAGCAGAGCGAGACATCCAGTCAGTGTCTGAAAACTGAGACGGAATGTCCGTTTAAAGTCATCCAGGATTGACCCGAGAGAGGTCGGAGTTTGGCATGGTCTTTCTTGTCCTTCGTCACTTTAGTTTACATTGGATTGTACAATATTTACTCTTGACGAAGTGATGATGCTGTCCCCTCCTTCACTAAAGACAAGATGAGCTTTCTCAAACACAAACTGTGCTTGGAAAGATATTCTTTTTGAGGCAGTGAAAAAGCACTCTCCGTGTGTGTGCATTTCCATTTTCCACCAAAATATTCAATTGGATGAAGTTCGACTAACACAAATACTGCAAAATTGGGATGGTGCTGACTTCCATTGTGGTCTTCAAGTCCGCTTCTTGTGTTCTTATTCATGTTTTTTTTTTTTTTTGTTGCTTTCCTCTTAAAACCATATCACAAACAATCATCAAATGAAAGAAAAATTGTGAGCACCGTTACGTTTGTAATACATAAAATGACTTCTTGAAAAATCTAAAAAAAAGTAGAAAAAAATGACATCGCGTAAAAATAAAAACAGAGGCTTCCATGGGCAAAAAGGCAATGACAAGAATAACAACAAAAAACAAAAAAGGGCAGGGGACAGAAGCAATGCTACGTTTAGGCAAAGTAGGAGGGACCCACTTTGCTCCTCACATCTGATATGCTTCCATTCTTCCTGACCTCCTCATGCGAGTCATCCTCTCTTTGCTCTCGCCGCCTTCAACAAACGGTCAGGACTCCTCCCGCGAATAAAAGCTCTTCAATCCCCTTCATACGGTCATCCCTCGCTCGCCTCCTCCTCTTTAGTCATCTCCCTGTGCCTTTAGTGTTTGCTTTCTTTCATGACTTATTTATTCTGCCCAGAGTGTTTTTGGCCCCTCACACACCTTGCACTCACTCAGGTGAGCAGAGCTGGGGTTGAAGATGTAAAGTGAGCGGTGGTTAAAATAAAAAACCGAAAAAAGATAATGCATGCACATGCATTGTTTGTCACTTGTCCTGACTTCATTACACTTTCTTGCTCTTGTTTTGAGAGAGCATCAAAAGTCCTTGTCAGGGGGTTCAAGATTACTCAGCAAACTTGATGTGCTTGGAAATAAAGCAACAACAACAAAAATCCCCTCCACACACAGAGACACATGTGAACCCCTCTTCATCATCGACAACATCGTCTTCATCAGCCTAATTAGACCCATGAGTCAGGCGAGGCTGGATAGTGGCTGGTCTCGTAGTTCAATTCGCTGTACGGCCGCGATGCTGAATAGAAGTCTACATAGTTGCCAGTGGACTTGAGGCCCAGATGCATGCGCAGGTCCTCCCGTGGGTCCCGAGGAGGCCCGGCGGAGCTGGGAGCCTGCTGGGGTTGGGCCTGAGGTTGAGCCTGTGCTTGGACCTGGGGCTGGGGCTGGGTCGGCGGAGGCGGTCCCTGGTCCTCGTAGTAGGCCTCGTCGAAGCTCCTGCTCTGGCTGTGAGGCGGAGGCTGTGGAGGCAGAGGCTGGGGGAAGGAGGGAGGGGGTGGGTAGTGGTCGTAGTCTTTTAGCACGGCTGTTGACGGACTGTCCTGTTGGGGCTGCGGGGCCATGGTGCAGGGCTGAACTGGGGCCTGTGGAGGATGCGGTGTCCGGCAGACGGATGGTGGTGGAAGTGCAGTGAAGGGAGGCATGGAGGGAGGTGGAAGGTGAGGTGATGGGAGAGAAGGCTTTCAGGCAATGTAGGGTGTAGGTAAAGGAAAAGAGTGGCGGGCACATGCTGCATATGATTGATTGGGGCCGCCTTGTTACATCAACACAAAAATCTGCGTTCTCCTTTAACAATATACTAAATGACATTAGAACTGCACGGATATTTTTATTTTCTTTTTTAACCCTCCAAATTCATGAACAAGTGGGGATATACAGCCAATATGCTTTTTCCATAAAAAAATGGAGGTTGGCACCCCAAAAAAAATGAATAAATAAGAAGTCTGTGAATGGGTGAATCTGTAGGTGGTGAAGTGTGTCGGGGACCACAGTATAGGTGGGGGCAATTTCAGGAGAGGAATTTTGCACAGCTAATCAATAGTACACGCTTTTACAACAGGAGACACTATTTGAGGAATTTCATAAGAGTGGCAACTTTTCAAATTCCTTCTCGCTATTATCTCCTGCCAGCCTAGGCCAAAGGAAGGATATGCTGGATAAACTATTTGACAGGGTGTACAAATGCATTCAAATTTTTTTTTTTTTTTTTTTTGAGGCTCACCTGGTTTGGCTTGATATCATCGCTGGCAGTCAGGTATGAATTTCGGAACAATGTAGACGTTCCACAGGACACTTGAATGGGGAAAACCAAATGATTAATAACAACATTTACACGTGGAATGCCACTTCATTCTTTCTTAAAAATGCTGGCAAGTACATTATTCCAATACGAATCAAGTAGCCAGGACTAACACAACCAAAGAAAAGATGTAAAAATAGAGACAAATGATTACATACTAACCAAACAAAAAGAACAAAGAAGAGCACTCTGCTTGGAGACGACAATGCGATTGGTGGAAAAGAAAGACTCACTACACGCACAAGCACGCGCACACGCACGCATACTCATACGCACCTGCCATGCCATCTTTCCGGGATGTGTGCTCGCCTTTGTTGCTATGGAAACCAGCATTGGTTGCTGTGGAATCGTAGTCCATCTTGCGTTCCTTCAGACTCATCATCTCTCTTGGAGAGGCTGGAGCGCTTGCTACACACACACACATACATACAAAATAATGAGAAGAGCATGAGAATTCACAATTCTCTACATAGTCATATTAGCGCACGCATGAGCATTCTGGCCTTCCAAGGTGCATCATCATTCGTCAATATATACAGTAGGATGACCTGTTAAACATTTACATGCGTATAAACTGCTTATTTGACACAAATCAAGATTCATGATGTATAAAACAGAGAGATGCTTTTTATAACAGATCCAATGGGACTGTTTTACTTGTGGTGCAAGTGTGGAGGTTACACTGACAGATTTCTGACACTCTATTGGGATTATATTTGACTAGTTGCACCTTTTCAGCAGCACTCTATTTCACACACATCACCGCACACAAAAGCACACTTGCACGCTACAATAGTTGAAACTGCTGTTTTACCCCAATTCTCTCTCTATCTATTTCTCTCTCTGTCACTCGCCCACTCACTCGTTTACAGCGCACACAGCAATGTTACCCCCCTTATAGCATATTCAAAATGCTTACTCAGTCCCTCTTATCTTGACACACGGGATTGCCAGAATGCTGCCTACCTACCTGCCTGAGAATCTGCCCCCTCAGTTTGCTTAGCTAAACATTCCTGTAACTACTCCATATATGTGGAGTGCATTAATGCACTGCAAGATTAGCCAGGGGCTTCAAAGTGAAGGACACTCTAAAAATACCCAGTCTGGAACAGTTCAGTCTGACTTTGCAGGTAACGGTGCGGCTGCAGTGGTGAACAATTTCACTGTATCATATTCAGAGATTTGATTTAGCTACACGATATAGCTACAGGGGGAAAACATTGGAAATTGCCATTAGTGTAATCGTCCTACACCGCAGCAAACTATGAACACAACATTAAACATATTGCCTATTGAATACAGCAGAATGCCCCTGTGTGATACATTCTCTCAGTATTTCTGGAAAAATAAAACTATGCACGATGCCAGATTACCTCCACAGGTGTGTGTGTTTGGGTTCTATTTTGTGTTTGTTTATGAAGGGTTTAGTGATGGCAGAGGAAACTGGTCGTGATAGCTCCAGAACCAGCAAATTCAATTTGTTGCAAAGCAGAGGAAAAGTATAGCTCCGCAGTACAATCTTAGCAATACAATAAAAGAAATATCAATTACAGATGCAAACTCACAGGAACTTGTAACGGCCACTTGAACCATGTGTTACATGATTCAACAAATAATTACATAATGACCAAATTAAATGAGTAGCTAAGGACAAAAGAAACCCAACGGTCACGATGTGTTCTTTTGCTGCCTGCTGAGCCACACACGCAAAGGCGTTGATTCTAACAGTGCCGAAAAAAATGCCACAAGGGGACAGAACTACCGTGTAAAAAAATTAAATAACGTAAAATCGTGTTCTCGCTTCATTAAGTGTCTGTCAGGTAGCTTCCATGACAGAAGAGTGTTACTTCATGATAGTTGAAATCAATTTTACACGAGTTAGCCTCTTTTATAATTTTATGCCAGTTAACAATATTTTTAAAAACAGTGGCTATAGATTTAAATTGATTTTATGATGCCGACAGTTTAGAGCTGGAACAAATTAATTCACTTTACGTTATTTTCAACGGGATATGATGATTTGAAATTAGAACTGGAATTGTTTTTTCTTTGGAGCTTACCCTTATCTTGTGGACAGTGTCTGTGAAAACAGAGCTGCATATATTTTCTCAGTGCGCTTCTACGAACGCTCTCCCTTTGTACAAGAGAAATAATTTTCCTCGTTTCAACACAAGACTCTAAAAATAGGACCAAAAAAAGCCTTTGTTCTCTTTGGCATTCCTCCCATATCATGATGACAGCAGAAAGGCAAAACTACCCAAATAGAATAAAGGTTTTGAAACACATTTTCTGAAGTGTCTTTAGAAATTATCTTTCTCTATTTGAACACAAAAGAGCTACCTATTACGGTCCAAGTCCTCTGTGCTTGACATTTAAAAGCAAAAGAAAAATTCAGTGCCTCTTATCTGCCTCCCAGATATTAACAAGAGACACAATTGGATGCAAACAAAAGCTAAGCCAGGCCAACTTTAATGAAAAAAAAAAACCCACAGCTTTAACTTGTTAAGAACATTACAAACACTATAGTTGATTGCCGTGGCCAACACGACGACATACAACTGACCCACTACGTTTTTAAATAGCCACAAAACAGATGATCTAGCACCCATCTGGTCACAATATTAGGTACAGCTACACAGTCTGGGCAAAATATTTGATGCATTTATGGATAGCATCTCTTTCTCATATTTTGCCCCTTGGTTTGCTTTGCTTGGCCTTTGACTTCTGGCTATAGCTTACTTACTACGGATGTATTTGGGCTTGCTACCAACAGCCTCGGGAAATCTGCTGGGAAAATGTAGAGAGCTAAGGTAGAAGATATGATGGATTACAAGTAGTTTGACTACACTGAAGTTACCCGCCATATAAATGAAGCTCGCTCAGCAACAACAGAATGACAAACTACTAAACTGTTACTAAAGAAAAGTAAACCTACTGTCGGTGGGTCGAGCCTTTAAAAGGTAATGGATATACGAGTACAATTATAATATAATTACTGATGTGGTCATCATTCCATTAGCTCCATTAGATTTTTTTTTTTTTTACCTAATGTCAGATTATTTAAAAAGATAATAATGTTCACAAAGATAGTGATACTTTTGAGGAACAGAACCTAAAGATATAGGCCTATTATTCACCTTCATTCTTGTAAGAATTCTTCTTGTTCTAAAGACTCTAGCTGTGCTTTCTCCGCATCAGGCTTAGCAGGCTGATGAGGCAGAAAAGTACTTTTCCTTCCTCCCAGCTTAGAGGGGCCTTCAAGGACCCAGCGACGGAGCCATGCGTGTAGTCATGCGTGTGTGTGTGTGTGTGTGTGTATGTGTTTGTGTGTGTGTGGGGGTGTGGGTGTGGAGACAGCACAGAGAGAGATGATAAACAGAGTGTGTAAGAAGTATTCTTGTTCATTCAGCTAAGGTAAAGGGAAAAGTTTACAGAACAGTTTGTATGTGTTTGTGTGTGTGTGGGGGTGTGGGTGTGGAGACAGCACAGAGAGAGATGATAAACAGAGTGTGAGAGAGGAATTAGGTATTAAAGGACGGTTAATGCAGGGATGAGGATTTGACCTTGGACAGTGACATTGAAATGTTCATCATATTTGTGTGCATGTGTTTGGAAGATTGTAATGCATCCCATCTATTCACCTGTCCTCCACCTTGTACTCTTCCGGTAATCCTTCTCTCTTGCCGCTTCTCTGTCTGATCGCACACATACATGAATGCGCATCTGTATCTTCGGCCTGCATGTGCTCCATGATTTCGTCCCCGAGAGACAGATCAAAGGAGAGGGGGTGATGGTGGAGTGAAAGTGTGTGTGTGTGTGTGTG